TTAAAAGAAATCTGTAAAAATTTAGGTTTTTAATGAAATTTGTTTTTGTAGTGAATGATTAATGAAATTCCAAATGAATTGACGAATGAATTGTTATCGTTTTAACAGAAACATGTTAATAAACAAGGATTTTGACGCCATTAGAGCTTTCCGATTGAAACTTTCGACTGATGTGTTCACTCTTTATGAGGTGTTCGTTTAAATGTTATAATGATTATTGTGTCTCATAATTTAGCCAGTGTTTTCAAGAGAGTCTATGACCATCGTGACCCATTTCATCCATGTACTCATCAAATTATTCCTGGGGGGGGGGAATGAGAAAACCCGATTTGGAATCTTTACATGGGGCCTACTGAAACAAGTTTCGTTAAGGTCCGATTTAAATAATATAGGAATTTGTCATCAGATACCTTGAAGTGACACTAGGCGCGCACTGTACGTATTTCCTACGGATTTCGTTTTCACGAAGTAACACTGAAGTTCTGTGCGCGCGCACTGTACGCAATTCGTGCCGATTTCGTTTTCACGAAGTAACACTGAAGTCTAGTATACGTGCACTGTACGGATTTCGAGCTGATTTCGTTTTCACGAAGTAACACTCTTCTTAAATCTTTAATATCTTCTGAATTAAAGATTTCTTTAAAACAAAATTAACACTTTCACATTTTATTTGCGGGAAAATGTGCTGTCAAACATGTAAATGCATTTATCTCCAAATCAACATTTTTCGATGCGCGTACATGAGTGTTACTTCGTGGTGTCGGTGACGAATTTATTACATTTCGATACTATTTTAAAATTATTCAGCTAAGGGAATTCCGGTTGTCTTGAAGAAACAAAGGTACTAAATTGAGTTTTTAGTAATATTATAATTTATACTTGAAGGAACAAAAGTACTAAATGGATTTTTTAGAAATATTATAATCTATACAATATTTAACAAATAACCAAACAAGTTTAGGAATGTTAAAAATTGTATTCACTTTGGAGGTTAGCAGATATGGTTTGAGTATATCATGAGCCTATAATTTTTACAGTTTTTACACATAAAACTTGAAGGCTGAGTTTCAAAAAAAATTATACAAGACTGTTTACAATTATAATGTCTAATGAGGTTATCGACTGTTTTTAATCGATACAAATCAATCGTTTATAACTATTTATATTAAAATTCGGTGTAATTTTTGATTTAATACAAAAGAAGGTTGTATGTGTTGAAGGGCGTGTGGTAAATTATAGGAAAAGTGTGAAAACAATAACCGATATAAATGACTTAAAAAACTTTATCTGGGTAGAGGTAACACCGTACCATGTTTCACGTAGTGAGCTGCTACCCGTAATTTAGTTGAAAGTTGTTATTTTAATGAGTGAACGCAATCTTTTTCATAGTGAATTACATTCCGGTATAGGAATGGCTGTCGGAGGATATTTTTTTGCTTTTATAGAACGAATGACGCACCCACCAACCAGTGGCTGCTGTAAGATATTTTTTAGAAGGAATTACGCGCCCACAAACCATTGGCTCTTGAAGGATATTTTTTAGAAGGAATTACGCGCCCACAAACCTGTGGCTCTTGAAGGATATTTTTTAGAAGGAATTACGCGTCCACAAACCTGTGGCTCTTGAAGGATATTTTTAAGAAGGAATTACGCGTCCACAAAACCTGTGGCTATTGAAGGATATTTTTAGAAGGAATTACGCGCCCACAAACCTGTGGCTCTTGAAGGATATTTTTTAGAAGGAATTACGCACCCACAAACCTGTGGCTCTTGAAGGATATTTTTAAGAAGGAAGTGGGTGTTTACATAAATGTGGAGGCCAGTGTGTGACATTAGGGTCAAATTTTCAAAATAACCAAATTAAATTCAGCTTCACATGGTTTTGCAGTCTAGGGTCTATATTTTGTCAAAAACAAAACCATTTTTCTGTAACATGACCCTTTTTAGAGTAGCAACATGATGAACTGGCATATGGGACACAAATTTCACCTGTAACAGTGACACCAAATTGTTAATTTCTTTTAGAGCTCTCACCACTGTTACAGAGTGACAATCCTACAACTAACTAGTAATAATAGTAATAAATGGTATCAGACCATTTAAACCTTTCTTTCTATTTAGTGATAAGCTTGATGGTTTCTACATCAGATACTTGTTTCTGAAACTGGAAGTTTAAATATCAGAGTTTGTTATAATAATCATTTCACCTGTAACGCTGACACCAAAACCAAAAACACTTTTATCACTTTTCTTCACTGTAGTTCTACTTTAACATGTCCTATGCCAAAGTTTTCATTGTATTAAAAAACAGTCATTATTTTAGCTAAAAACTCAATCATCAATCAAACAGGTGCTTTTGCTTCGTTGTTTCAGCTGAAAATAGGTATTTCACCTGTAACGGAGTCAGTGTTAACACCAAACCTTTATTGCCTCTTATTTCAAATTCTAAGAGAAGGATTAAAAATGTAATGACATCTATATTCCAAGCCAACATCCAGGATATATTTTTAGTTAAACTTGTTGACAAATACAGTTTGACAAATTCAGAGTGCAGCTGCAAAGTATCACACTGTAACGTTTTTTGATGACACAAAATTGATCTGCCAATATTTAAAATTGGTATATTTCTTGTACTTCTTTGAATTTCACTTTTGGTCTTCTTTAGTCTCTTTATTTAATAAAAGACTTCAATAATCACTTAAAATTTAGAATAGTTGACAGTTTCTACAAATATTATAATCAATGGTAAAGTTCACTCTGTAACAGGATTTGCTGACACCAAATGGTATTTTTAGCGGGCATGTCAAAATGATACAAAGTTGCCGATGCACGAACGTTGTGTTTATTATTAACTTTGGGGTTATCATCAATCATTTAGAATTAAAAAGGACCAAATTTATCAATTGAAAGAATGAAAACTGTGCACCATTGGACAAGCTGTAAAAATGTCACGCAATTTTACCTAAAAATTTCATAATTCTGGCTAATTTTTGATCAAAATTATACAAATGCATTGTGGTGATTTAATTTTTTTTTTTATTTCAGTGGGTACATAGTGATATGGGCAATAAAGTTAAAACACAAATATTAGCAAGCTGGTTATTTTAACATGGAAATGCCCCGCTATTAACCTGACAACCTTGCTGGCATGGCCAGGACCGCAATTGGTTTGTGCACAAAAAAAATTGTGTACAATGAATGGCGGTCGATTAACAGGCACAGAGAGCGATCGCTGTCAACTACTCGTTTTTGCCGGCTGCGCTGGCTGTTGGTGCATGACGTCACGCGGAAGCGTAACACCCGATGACTGTTTCATGCACTAATATAAGGTTTACCACTCGCATCACAGCTTTGGTACTGGAACCGCAACCAATAGGAACAGGGATGGAAAGCAGTGAGACACTATGTAGACACATCTTCTGGTCTTTTTAAGGATGGGGACAAGATTCTTGGTGAGCATCCCATGATGACCCCTCCATGCCTGGTATCATCCCTTGATGAAGAATTCCCAGACAAAGAAGCAGCATTTGGTGAAAGTGGCCCTGGCCATGGAGTACCTCCATGCCATGGCCCACCACAAGAAAAGAAGAAAAGTTATCAGCTGATTGATTTGATCAGTGAACAAAATGGAAGGCTGATGGACCAGGAAACAAACTATACTCTTTACTCAACTCAAAACCAGTCCTTCTTGTTCTTGTTTGGAAGGCTTCTTACTGCCAAACTATCATAGAAATAAGTAAATATTCATAATTATTTGATAATTTAACTTCTACTTTCATTGGTTCATTGATATTTCAGTTTATAACAGTAAGACAATGAGCACACTATGCACGAATGTTTTAATAAGCAGAATTTGGGGTTCTTTGAAGAGTGTGTTCCGACAGTGACATCACGGCAACAGCACCCTCAGTTGTCTGGAAAAGCATTAAACATTTTAAAGGTTAAAAAAAGTGCGCCTCGAAAAACAGTTTTACTAAAAAGGGATACGTCTCATACTTTTTTATACATTTCAGAGGAATTTGTGTTTGCCAATATGCTCCAGTGTAATATTAGTTTCTTGGACCCTTTGTTTTTAATTTCAAGCAATAGATCTGTTGCAATGCAGCCATCTTTGAGGTGCATAATTTGGTTCTACGGTGATCTGCATGGGTAAAAAACCCTCGAGATGGCTGCTGAAGGAAAAGGATCTTTTAAGAGCAGACCATCAAAACTTGGCACTCAAGGACATCAAGAATGGCTAAAGTTTTAATAACTGCCACTATAGTTAGCAAAGTAAAAAAATTTATCTGGACATTAATACACATCTTTAATTACTATGTAATATTGCTCAGCTGGAATAATTTTATTGATTTTATATAATAATATTATTACTTTAAATATTTGTTTTCTTGTTTAATACAACATTAAAGAAAACTGTTGACATTGAATGTTTTTTGGCAGTTACTGACCTCTTGATACCAGCCCATCCCTCCTTCTTTGAAGATTTGAAAATGTTCAGATTTTTCCCCACTTTGTGTTCATTCCAGACTCAAAACCTGCATACGCCGATATTCGGCCCAAGAAGCCCAACAGTCTTTTATTTCAAGGATGTGTCCGAGCAATTTCTCTGGTGATTTCCTGCTCAATATCAAGCCTCAAAAAGTTGCCATAACATTTGTTCTTTTGCGTTATTTTTTTTGTATTTATATAATTCTTTGAGTTTATACATCCTTTCGGCCCATCAATGAGCCAACAACACAAATATAACTAAGGGACTAGAGAATGTACGGGACGGACGCGTCGACGAACTTGAAAGGCCCACTAATTATACAACCTGCAGGTGCGCCGCCTGGCGCTGGCTGGCCGGCCTGGCTACAAATTGGTTTAAATGAACGATTGAGGGCGCGGCGCGGCCGCAGCCGCGTCCGAATGATCCATGGGCCTTATAACAGATAGCTCGATTTTGCCACTGCGCATGCGCGCGCAAAGGACAGTGGGAAAAATTGTTGGTAAGGAAACTTTTTCGTCACGTCGCGTCGTACCCGTACCCGTACGTACAAAGAGCGCCTAGTTTGAAAGTGTAACCATAATTATCATTTTATTTTTATCGTTTTAAGAAGTTGAGTAATTTGTTCAGCATGAACCTTGAAGTCACTGATGAAGAACTTTGGGGATGTGTCAGGCAGTTCGACGTGAAAACATTGCAGGAATTTCTGTCAAAAGTGGACGTTCCGAAAAGCGGTTCTAAAGACTGTCTGCAAAAGCGGCTGTTCTATGCATTGAAGCTGGGACTCCCCATAGTGCCCACGGCCAGTAACGAAGAACTGAGCAGACGTGAAAGCCGGGAGAGAAAGCTTCGCTTTGGAGAACAATTTAAGTTGCCTCACCCCCTCACTCTCGATGGCTGGGAAGGTACATCCGCAAATCTTCCACCAATTACAGAAGAAAAAGTAAACCATTATTTCCGGACACGTAAGTCACTCATAATGTATGTATGATGTAACGTTTACAGTCTTCAAAGACAAAGAAAATTATTTAGTCTGACCTGGTCTAGTCTGACGGTGACACTTAGTGATTTTAGAGATTTATCACCTGATTACCATGATTACATTTCTGGGACTCAGTGTGAAAAATAGTTTGGAATGATTTTTTTTTTTTAATTTGCTTACTATTAAAATGTTTAATATAATAATTTGGGTAAAAAGTGCATCAAGTTCCAAAGAGTAACTGTGTTAGCCTTTGACAATTGTCATGTATATTTTGCAACAAACATGTACAGTATAGTAATGGTACATCATGTACATGTACCATCTTATACTGTAGTAGTATTCCAAGTAACTTGGACCCAAATATCACCTTTTTAATATTTGGACATGGTCGGGTGATAAGCTAGTAGGGTTCAAGTGAAAGCCCTACGGATCGCGGTACAAAATGTCTGCACATCGACCCCCCTGACCTCCCACACTTATCCCCCCCCCCCCCAAAAAAAAAAATGTCACGGAAAACGGCCATATTAAAAAGGTGATATTTGGGTCCAAGTTAATCGGACTACTTGTAGTAGTAGCCGCCTAGTGCACTGGACTCTCTCCATAATCCTTGGCCCTAAACACATGTGTACACAATCACAGGGGAAAATTTTGAACAATATATTTCTTCTTCCGGAACTATGAGCCCTGATATTCCACATACACTTTCACCATATACCATGCCATGCCTTGTATGTGCTCTTTCTCAAAAAGGGTAATGTCCTCATTTCTACTTTTCGTGAAATTTGGCTCCAAAGTTGGAGAGAAATTTTGAGTTAAGAGAAAAGTAGAAATCAGGATATTGCACTTTTTGTTAGAAATCACCTGGCATGGGTAAGTGAGAGTGTATGTGAAATTTCACGGCGCATAGTTTAAGGGAAAAAACTAGTTTTCAAAATTTCCCCCTGTGATTTTTTTCACATGTTTATAGGGCTACTGATATGGAGGGAGTCCAGTAGCGTGGCCCTAAACTAAGGCTACTTTACACATGTGTATACATATAGACCATCACAACCATGTACATGTATTAAGAAAGCTATCTAATTTGCAAAACCTAATTCCTCTAATCAGGAAACAAAGAACTTGAGATAAGTACAGATGGCAGCAAATCTCTCGGTCAAGGAAGGAGCATGGCAGTTTCCAGGGGCAGGGTGCACACAGTTGAACACCACCACATTAGTGATATTGTAGGTGAGACAAATATCAAAATGAATGGGAGATTGCAACCACATTTCTTTTGGGGGCTGTTCTACATGTACACTGTATTTATCACATGTTTCTCTTGACCATTGACTGAGTACATATGAATGGTGTGGTAGAAAAATTTACATGTACATGTGCATGTATACAATGTACAGTGTACTAATTCTTGAAGTGTGATATGTTTACAAAGTGTCTAAATCTGCAAATGACAAATGAGGGAATTAACAAGTCATTTATTTATTTTTTCAACAGGGCTCAGCTACATTCGAGGACTGGTTGTACCACAAACAAGAGTTCATGAGCAGCCATACATGGTGTGGATCCTTGTATTTAAAAAAACAGGTGTTATACATCAGGCAGATTGTCATTGCATTGCAGGGTGAGATTCATGACCGTACATCACAAATGGGCCATATGAAGTTGCAAACTGTAATTTTTTATAAAAAAAGACAAGTTCACACTTCACACAAATGCAAAGCCATGCGAATGTCACAAACTCCGCAAATGTTCTTCATTTGTGAAATCTGCCATTACACTTAAGGTAATAAATAAGTTTTGCTCACAAATTGGAATGAAGTATTAACAAGCCTAAAACTTGAAATCACTGAAACTGGGCATTGACGTTGAATTTCCCATTCAAAAGGGAGCTGCTGTATTTGTTCTTAAATTCTGAGTGTGCTTCTGCTGTAGGGTGTCACACTCAAGTTAATTTTTTGGGGGTTTGAGGGGAGGGCTGATTAGTTTACCATTTACCAACAGATGGTGATTGAGAAAGAAAAATTATCATTCTGAACCAAATTGGTCTGTTATTGTGTAATTTGTGTAGTTTGGGAAGGCTGAAGTGCAACAATCTGTTTTCTGTTGTTTATTGTTTTTTATGTTCTTCTTTTTTATCTCCCTTCTCTTAACAAATTTAGGCTCAGCGGTATGTGTAAACACGTTGCAGCACTATTGTCATTTGTGACACAACAAGTGGAATGTGGTTCCAGTGAGTCATGCACAAGCCAGCTTCAACAGTGGCACAGGCCAAGCAGCAGCAATCTTAACCAGAAATTAAAGACATCGGCATTCCTGAAAGACATTAAAACACCCAAAGTGTCATCTTCAATGTGTGACAATAGGAAGGGTCGAAGGGACATGTTTGATCCCCGCGCTGTGGTAAACAAGAAAGTAAGAAAGATGCGATTATGATTTAGATAGTTTGGCTGACATATCAAATGGTAAGGCTGCAGTGCTCTTATATGCAGCACATCAAAGGCATGTTCACCCAACATTGACATCAAAGCCGGATATCAATCATCTAAATTCCACATTAGATGTAGATATATCATCATCTTCACCAATTAGGGTTTCATCTGTTGTAGATGCCTTTAGAGAAGTGAAGAAAAGTGCAGGTACTGATGCAGCCACATACACAGCTATGACAAAAGAGATGGCCTGTAGTGGTCGCAGTAGAGAGTGGTTGGCTGAATCAACATGTCAACAGGCAGAATCACATATGTGGCACAAACACAGAGTTGGGCGCATAACTGCCTCTAACATGGGGGCTGTTACGAAACACGTGGATGAATCTGGGAACCTTACTGGCTCCACACATAGCATCATTGCTACTGTGATGTCCTACTATAAGGACTTTGTATCAACAGCCACCACCTATGGTAAAAAACATGAAGCTGTAGCAAAATCTAAATATCTGATGAAGATGCGCAGAACACATAGACATTTCAACTTGGAAAAGATTGGACTTTGCATATCCAGTAGTCACCCATTTATTGCAGCCAGTCCAGATGGTTATGTAAACTGCAAGTGTTGTGGAGCAGGACTTGTGGAAGTGAAGTGTCCCTTTAAAGACATATCACTAACTGTAACACAATATGCATCCAAAGGGAAAACCTGCCTCACAGTTGACGAAGACAAAGTAAGCCTGAGAACAACCCACAATTACTATGCCCAGGTCCAGTGTCAGTTGTTCTGCACAGATAGGAAATACTGTGACTTTGTGTTGATGACTGAAGCAAAAGAAGGTAGTATGTTGATACAACGTGTTTACAGAAATGATGAAATAATCAATCAAATGAAACACAAGGCATCAAGTTTCTGGGCCAATACAGTCCTGTCTGAGCTTGAAACTGGAGCTGTAGAAAAGAAAATTGCACTGAAATATAAGGAAATGCAAACTGAACCTTAAAGCAAGTATTGTATATTGTTGTTCAAATTTCCTTGACCCAAAACTCCACCTCCATTTTTTTAAATCTTAAATTCATCGACAGGGCTTTTGATTGTATTCTGCACAGTGGACAAACTGATGGGGGATTCTGTTTAGAAATGGATACTTCACCACTGGCTTTTTGAGTGAACAAAAAATAACATGTTCAACCCTTATATACATGTTCATGTAAAATGATTCAGTCCTATCAAACTGGGGGAAAATATATAACTTTTGAGAGGAAGTAGACAGATTTTCCAGAACAAGTTGTTTTTATAACAAACACTTGTAAAATAAAGGTGCAAAATAAGGAAAATGTTTTTCTGTATGAAACATTCACAGTTTATTGCAGTTCAATGTATATATATTGTCATTTGAATCTTCACAAATTAATTATGGGGTATGGTTTCCAAGGTGTAGTGCAGCACTGCACAGGGATGCTGGAAGGTATATACATGTAAAACTTTTTCAAACAGAACTAATATAATGACAGATATGTCTCCAAAGGGACTAATCCATTGGATTTCTTATTCTACAGTTGTATATGTATTTAATAATTTATTAATTAAAATAAACTAAAGGGCATTAATTGCACATATATATATTTTTTATATATATATACATGTATATACATCTACTCACCGGGTTCATTATTCATTAAACTAAAATTTACCATATTTATTGCAAATTCAAGTTTGTTAAATATTTTAAATCCTCTGGTAAACATTGTATAATCAGTTTGTATGAGAACAACTATTAAGAAAAAAGCATCAATAATGCCATTGGTAAAAACTTCATTTACAATGTATGCCACAGTTGCTATCTCACTGAGAGGGTCAGGAATTACCAGTGAAACGGTTCATGTAAATAAATGTATTAAATTATACAGACGCAGAACAAACTCTCATATTGAATGATAACTCTCATTGTGCATACTTTTTTTGAGTACTTCATTCAAATGAAAACTGATAACCTCTGGTTAAAAAGTCAGGCCTGGTTCATTTTAATATCTGTTTTTTTTTAATTATCATCGCAATCATCATCTTAGTTTTGTTTGATCAAAATGAACAAACATCCCCCAACAAAAACATAAGCTGTGTAGTTTTTGCACACTGATGCACAGCTGTATTAAACAACATTCACATCATCATAAACATTAACTATTGGGTGAACATTTTATTAAAATGTAGCATTTTTTGTTCACCACTAACTCTTTCCAACAACAGAACTTTTAAGGTTGGTAAGAGCACAACATACCCTAGCTGCAGGACCTATCAAATCCACTGGTATTTCACTTGACAAGTACTTGTAGTCACGTAACCTACCAATGACGCGCTCAATGTGAATTCGAGCATGTGCAATTTGCTTGCTCAATCTATTCTTTTCCTCAGTGAAAGGCTGGCCTTTATGTACAAAAGGTGGATGGATAAGTTCAACACCATACTCCAACAACTCCCCTTTGATAAGGAAACCTTTGTCAACCATACACTTATCACCAGGGGAGAATTTTTGGGGAAGGTTGCATGCAATGACAATCTCCTTGTCCGACATGTTTCCACCTGCTGGGGGTGATATGAAGGAGATAGATCCTCCTGGTGTACAAGCAAGGCAGAATTTGGTGGTGGCCCGATTCTTATACGATGAAAATACTTGTGTATTTGCCTCTACATGCGATGGTTTCTGGGTTGGGATTTCAAAACAATCTAATATTGCTCTAATGCCTGGCCATCTCTTAAAACAATCTGGATAGCAAAGTTTGATTTCCTCCACTTCAGGCCAGTAAATCAATCCAGACAGTTCATGGCTCAACAACGGAATCCATGTGGATAATATGGAGGAGACTGTGGGCTGCTTAACATTAAAAAGGTATGCCAGGTACTCCTCCATCATGTTAAGTCTTAACTTCATTAAAGTTATCAGGAGTTCATTTTCTTTAGACACCACTCGACTTGGTCCAGGCTTTTTCTGGTTGGTTTCTATATATTTTTTGGCCTTTTCTGATCCATTACCATGCCAATATTTCATATTTTCTGATGCCTTGTCAACTTCTTTATAAATCCACTTGAAGTACTGATATGACGGCAACCCGGTATGAAGCTGAATAAGTTCATCAGAATGCTTTATTGACTCGATTGACACTTTTGGTCCTTTCATGATCTGCTGTGTGCACTTCAATGCACTTTCAGGTTCAGTGATTTTTTCACTTAGCTGGATATTTTGTGTTTCCCTAAGAGTTGAATCTCCATGGAAGTAATTTTCATAAAGTACTTCTTCTTTACATTCCACTGCTGTTAATCTTTGTTTTTTATTGTTGTGCTTCCTCCAAGCTACACCCTCTTTTCTATTACACTGGTGTCCACAATGAACCATCTCTGTGGACTGTTTGAATGTTTCAGGTTTGGCATATGAATGGAAGGCAGGTATTGAATAAGGATTACAGTCTTTCCTTTTATTAGCGCAGACAGAGTCAACTTTAATGGGCTGAAACTGAGCCGATAACCAACCGGTCCCTTCACACAAGGCTCCATATCTATAAATATGGAGGGCCTCTAAACATTTTCCTCCCGGCACAATTGGTGCAACTTGCTGTAATAACTGTCTAGCCTCAGTACTAGACATGGACAGCAATTTTTGGAAAATACAGTCACTGTTCTTTCCAGGTTGTACTCCCAGCTGCTCAGCAAGTCTAGTTGTTGTCTGTGGGTCCAGATACTTACACACATGCACCAATGCATGACAAATCAGTCCATTTTCTACTGCTGCAACTTCCTTAGCTGCCTGTTTTCTTGACAATGTCCAGTCCGGATAGGAACGCATGTACAGTGTAGGAACAGAACTCCCTGTTAATGGCTTACCATTCCTGTGATGTGAAATGTTAAAAGTATTTTATTAGGGAAGAAAGGTGAAAAAGTCACAGAGCTTAATTACATTACTAGAGATCTAACTCCTAACAAAGAGCAAACGCTGCTGATAGCATCCATGTTTGCGCACAAATCTATAAGCTCAAAATATGCACAAATTCATAACCTGAGTCAAGTATTAAAACAACACTCATTCTTGCAACTATTCTGGATTTTTACAGACACTACGGTGGGAGATGCATGCAGAACAGCCATGCTATGACATTTCAGATAATCAAAATTGTTCTTCCATGCACAAACATGTCATATGCAAATCATCAGAAAATATACAAATACAAGAATATGATAACTTACAATTGACCTATCGCAATAGAATCATGAGAATATACAGTTTGTGAACATTGTCGCATCACATGAACTAAGTATGATGCAAAATGAATGAAACCGAAACTAACAAAGAATACCGCACAGTTTTCAACAAGTATTAAAAAGGAAGGACTTACTTGAAGTGATTACTGCAAATTCTTGTGTACTGTGACACCCTGTAATCCGTCTTGTCAAGCTTCTTTTCCCATTTAGTGTAGTCCTCTGCATGTGCCTTATGGAACTGTAGTTCAATTACATGTGGCATAACAATCAACCTGAAGAATTATATAAGGGATAAAATGATGGAGCAAGTGTAACCTTGTTGTTAATAACCATGGACCAAGCCAAAAAGAGTATGACACAAGGCGTATGATGGATTATAAAACCTCATCAGCAGAACCTGTATCTTCATTGGCTGAGAGCAAGTCACATAGCATTCAATACTTCAGCTATCTTGATGTGCACAGCCAAAAGTACTATATCCATACCAACCGGTATTGTGTGCAATTTTACGAGTTGTGCGTTGAGCGTATTATTCCCAAACTCTAGCACTATAGTCTACAGAGCTGGGTTAAAACATTTAGTGAAGGGGAAGCTTGGAAAAGTGCAAGTAAATGTTCAGCTAATTTCCTATTCAAATAGTATGTAGTACATGTTAATTGTATATTAAATTAATTACTTATCGCTTAAAACCAAATAGAATCTGTGGATGAGGTGTTATAAAACAAATATTGACTGCTCTAACTCGTGAACAAAAATAGCCTCCCTCGGTGATCCATGGATCACTTTCTTTTCTATTTAAAAAGAGAATGCTTCATGTATCACTTCAGTAGGCTAGTTTTACTACACCGTTCGAATCAGTTAATATTTGTAGACTATTCATGTAAAGGGCAGTGGCGTGACTACGGGGGAGGGGGGGGGGGCCAAATTATACAGACTGTATAAAATAGATATATTCAGTGCCCCCCTTGAAAAATGTGTGCACCCCCGGGTGCCCCCTCGGAAGTATGACCCTAGTTACGCCGCTGGTAAAGGGCACTCTTTATCAGGGCAAAATCCTGTTATAAAGAGAAAATGCAAAATCTGAGATCCCGAGTCTCATTAAATTATTTTATTTTGCAGCGTTTTTTTATGAAGGTCCTGTTTGTAATTTCGCTGTTTAAGTTTGCTACATGAATAATGAGAGTTCACTTTATAGGGTTTAGTAAGTTGGTCAAAATCAACAATCCTTACCTATCCCTGTATTTTGAATTGTTCACACAGGATGCTGCTGCACAATGCATGATTGATATCACAATCTCACTTGGAGAGAAAAAGCTGATTACTGAGGAAAACTTGATGTGCACACTATTCAGTTGAGGTCATGAAGTGCCGTGCATGTTACACTAGCTGCAGATGGTTGAGAATAAAGGTGCAGACTGTACAGGACATGTCGACAAGCAGCACATCAGGAGACCCAATAAAAGCCTACCGGAAAACAAAAGAACATGATAAAGTTACCCCCAAAATTTAAAGCTGCATGCATATTAAAATTTCAAAATTCTTAACACTTTTCCTTAAATTGACCATCTATATTGCTATCTGTGGACCACGTATTGTTGATGTACCCTAACGTGGCGCACTTTGATTTTGTGCCTCCGGTGCCTTGCTAGAGCAACATTTTTACCTCAAATTTCACAATAAGTGAAATTTCATCAAGCTCTAAACATTCCTGTTCATAAATCTTGAGTTTACGTACCCGCTACAAAGTTCCAATGAAATTCTATTTGGGCATGATTTTCCGATTTTTTTTTGAAGTGCACAATGAACTCTTTTAAAATGCACCCAAAAATAAGAAAATAATTTCTCCACAAACTTGTAGCTGGGTATGTAAGTGTAGGTTATAATGATTTATCAGAATTTATCAATTTTAAAGAAATTCTTAAATGTTAATGTGGGATTTTCTGAGATTTGTTCAAGTGCGCCACGTTAGGGAACACTCAGCTGAATTTGTGCCCAATTTCCGGACGCCACCGTTTTGAATTTCGGACTTAATTTCATGACACTGAAATTGTTCACAAATTTTAAACAGCATGTATTATTAAGGTACTAGTACCAGTATTTGACTGAAGCAATTTCAAGTTTTACAACAAAAAGGTTTGGCAACACTGCATGAGGAAAGTCGAGTGAAACGTCGAAGTGCGCCACGTTAGGGAACACGACTATCTGACTATACAAGTAGTATAGGCCTATGTTGCACAAAATAGTTCTAAAGGACAAGGCAGGATACGGGTTATCATTATGTACACATGTGTACAAAAAGTTGGAAAATTACAATGAACTTCTCGGGAAGAATGTTATCCTGTTGATGTTTTCCCCATTATTGGCCAACGTATAGCAATCCCAAGGCTTAATTAATAATAACAAGTTAGTACCTTAACTATGGCTCGTGGCTTGTGACGCGAGCTAGCTTCGCAGCCGGCCGAACAGCTGTACTGTGCGTATTTTTCATTACCAACTCGATTACCCATAGTGCTTTGTAAAGTGACAATTTTTGCTATCTGTTATAAGGTCCATTGGCTGCGTCCGTTTAGCCGCGTCCACAGCCGCAGACGCAGCCAGCAGCCGCAGCCGAAACATTCGGACGCAGCCTAATCTAGTGCAGGATTCCTCTCTGTAATAAAGAAATTTTCTTTAAATAATCTATTAGGGTAACCGCACCTTTTAAGTCGGAGTCCAAAAAGTTGGAGTATGTGATTATATTCATTATTATCGGCACTATGTGTCTTGTACCGATGACATTCTCCTTTGATGATGCCTCGGAAGACACAGGGGTTGTGATTAGATTTGTAATTAACATATGTGAACTTATAAAAGGATTTTTGGAAGACACGGTAGTGTATTCTATTATTCATTAGAGTAAAGTGGTTAATAGACAGGGTAAGATCAAGAAAATTCATAGTTTTGTTGTTCACAGAGAAGTTGACAGGAATTGATTTCGGGTAGATGCCTGCTAGCGTTTTGACTATGTCTTGATATGAGGAAGTGGGGTCGTTGCGGAAAACAATTAAACCGTCATCGATGTATCTAACGAAGAGCAGTACATTGGGGGATCTGTGTGCAGACCAGAACAGAAATTCTCTATAAGCTAATACAAGGTTGGCGAGTTGTGCAGAATGGTAGCTCCCCATTTGAACTCCTTTAGTTTGCTTGAAGAGGTGATTACCGATAGAAAAATGGCTAAAATCGCTGGTGAAGTTATGTAGTTTAGAAAAATAGGAATAGTTAGTATTCGTAAGGGTATTCACAGGCAGCGCTTGTCTTGAAAAGAGTTTCCTGGATATCGTGAGGTGTGATGTTTGTGTACAGGCTCTCAAAATCAAAAGAAATAAATGAGATATCATCGTGGTAAGAGACTTCCAAAGAACTAAGTGACTCTATTAATTGTTGGTGATGATTGGCCAAGGAATATCCTTTTCGAAAAATTTGTCTTCAAATCTGGACAGTAAAATGTTCAGGTAGAAGCCTATTGTTTTGGATACAGGGGAGGTAATCCAGCTGTGCGCAGTTATTATTGGCCTGCCTTTAAGTAATTTCTCATTGTCGGGAGAAGGAGGTTCTTTTAACTTGTGAACTTTTGGCAGCAGATCCATTGATGGTATTTTGGGTTGACCTGAAGAGATGAATTTGTTTATTTTCTGAAGATCTGCTTTTGCACTCGGAGGGGCTTGGTTCTTGAAGATTAAATTTAATCAATTTTTTGGCGGTTTGAGATTGACGTTTGATCGATCTTGCCTACATGATTATACGTGTCTGATTTTATTTGGCGTTTATACTCTTGGATGTACCAGTTTGTACACTGTTGAAGCAAAGACCCATATTCTTGTCGGATATCCTGATGATAATATTTTTGTCATTAGCTAATTTCTTAATTTCATTTATTTCATTGGTCGTTGTGCTGTGGAGTGAACCAGCGTTGTCTTTTTTGAGGACATTCTCAGGACTGGCGTGGATTTCTTCAAGAACGGAAAGGGAGTAATCAAATGTGTTTCTATATACATCAAGATTTATGATTACTTGATTGAATTTGGGGGGATTATATTTCCGTTTAAGCTTAAACCTGTCGTTATGCTAAGAAGGCAGGTGATAATTCCGATTTTTCTCCAGTAGCATAAGTTTCTTTACGGAAAGCATTACTGATTTATGCAACTCTTTCTTCAGGTCAATCTCGTCTTCATTTGGATCAGTGGGTAAGAATGAGGGACCCTAGTTGATCAAGGTTTGTAGATTGTCGTTGACTTTCTTCCCGGTAAAAAAAGCGGGGGTTATCATCTTTAGCTTCTGAGTGGGCTAGTTTATCCATGGTTCTCTGTCGTTGGGTCTTGAGTTTTTTCATTACACATTCTTTGTTCAAACTACTTTTATATCGAACAAATTGACATAGAATGTTAGACCTTTAACAAGCCTAACAGATGCAGATGGGTGTCTGTCGCTATAAATTGTACGTGTACGTACATAGGCCGACGTGCATTTGATTTGCGTGATGTATCGATACATATTAAAGTATGTATCTTGCAATCGACAAAAGCATGACCAATCTTTGATCTTTGTCATCTCAGTAATGAGTACATGTATTTCCATATGGGCCATTAATCGATACATCTCGCAAATTAAATTACGGAATTTTAAACACAACCAGCATTTTATGGTTCTGTCCACGGATCACAAAAAGGTGTGCATTCTTTTAGCAAAACAATTGTTTTCGTTTTGCTGATAGAACACTGATCTTTTTTTTGATCCGTGGACAGAACGTTAAAACGCTGGTTGTGTTTAAAATTACGTAACTTGAAAAAGACATATGTGATTTGAATGGTTCTTGTGCTAAAAGAAAGCTTATGAATTGGGCTTTTGTATCTTAAATTTTGAAAATGCTACAATGGTCCCAAAATTTGGGTTTCGAATTTTTTCTACTCACCCTGTAGATGGCCTGTGGTTGATCCTCCGGGTTATACTTCTCCAATATGTTCCAGTTCATCGAAGTATTTGCTGACTGTTTCTCGAGACGTAGCTTTTGCACGCGTAATTTCTAGTGATCTCGGTTTTTGAATGTTACAATTGATAATGTAGTTACCAACGGATAACGTATCGCTAACCTATAATGTATCACAAATCGACCGATATTGTATCACTAACCGATATTGAAGCAAAAATTGACTGATAGTGTAGTAAAATTTGTATCCGATAATGTATCACGTGTCAACGGATAATGTAACTACAAAATTACTGTATCCGATAATGTATCACAACGAAACAGATACGGTATTAACCGATTATGTTTCAAAAATCAACCGAAAATGTATCAGTATGGGGAAAAAACGTACACAGATGTTTGTTGTATGTCCTTTATATCCCGCCCCACTTTTTGACGGGGTAGGGAAGGTCAGGGCTATTGGATTAGCCCCTCCTCCCCCTCATTATTTTATATATAGAGGGCAAAAAACAGATTTTGAGGTATTTTTCAAACATTCCAACCGCCGAAATGTATTTAATTTAGTACTGAGAAAGGGAGAAAAAGTACACAAAGCTTGAAATGCGCTGATACATCTGTATCATGAACAGCGCCCCCAGTGTCATGTGGTCTCCAGCAAGCCCCCCCCCCCCCCCTTTTGAATTTCACGGCCGGGATTTTTTTTTAGCTATCCCCCATCCCCCAGTCCCCGGCACAGATTTACGATACTGTTGCAGGGGCGGATCCTGGAATTTTCGCAGGGGGGGGGGGGGTGTTTCATCAGCAAAAAGATCTTAAAATGTACACAGATTTTATTTCTCCGGACACTTGGCCTCCGTAAAATCAAAAACTGAGGGGGGGGGGGGGGGGGACCATATTTCAATAGGGGGCGCTGTTCAAATTCGACGATTATTAACACTGGATTACAGAATAGTGTACAAATACCCCCTATCTAAGCTGCCTCCGTCCGTATTTTGAACAGGCGGACATTATACCAGTATAATTTTAAAAATATTTTTTTTTGGGGGGGGGGGGGATGTCACAGCAGGGGGGTCGCCTTAATTTTTTAGGAATTGGAATTATTTTTTTGTGGGGGGGGGGGGGGGTGACCCCCGCGCCTGTGTTGGCCTCAAGGGTGCGGCAGGCTCGTGACGTTTGGACTGTAAACTGTATATGGGTTCAACAAAACGAAGTCAGTGGGTGGACAAATAACAAATGACGTCACATGTGAACGGTGCCCCCCCCCTTAAAACAATTGTACGGTAAAGTAATATAGTGTACATGATTGTAGGATTTTATCAGCGCTCCCCGTTGAAAATATGGCACGAGCCCCCTCCCCCTCATCCCCCCCCCCCCACCCCCCAGCAGGCATTTTTGGTTGGATTAACGTCCAAGCGACGTTTGATTCTGACCAATTGTGACTTTGGATTTTGGTCATTTTATAATTGATTATGAAAGTCACTTAGACCTCGAAA